CATCTTTGTGTCACCAATACATAGCCTCATTGGAAGTGCGCGTCTACAAATGCTTGATATTTAATCATTTGTTGATTTTCACTAGAAACAATGAGGCACACTTTTTGAAAGAGACTTTTCTTAGAAGGAATTGATAATGATGATGGTGACATTCACATATACATACAAATGTATATGCATACATAATATCTAATTAAATTACAATTTGCCTTATCTCTACCTAAATATGTTCCCATCCATGGTTAACCATCACCTTGTAAAAATACAAGAGCAGTCTTTTCCCCTAATGGTTAACATTCTAAAGTTCTTTATGGTAAACTCAATATTTTGACTATAGTATGTTGAATTTTTGACCACCATATTTCTTGAAGGTTATTTGCCAAAGGGGCTGGGAGTGTATTAGTGGTGGGAATACCTACCCCAAAAAACATAGATCCTAGAAATATTAAAGTAAAATCATTTAATCATTTCATAGCTTTTTCACATTGGCATGTTGTTTGAGTGGACAATATTTTAGCTTCCATAAGGATGACATACCATATTTATAAAGGAAGTTATTTTTAAGGAATAAAAGCTCCTGTTGGGAAATGTAGGAAAGGAAAATGGAAATTGACCCATACTCTTCTTCAAATCTCTGAGCTATAAAGTGGAAAGATGACAACTTTTGAGTTTAGTTGAACTGCATTTAGAAAATTTCAAATTCAGTTCAATAGTGTTTGAAAGTATATCCCTTGGAGTTATAATACTTGGAGTTATACAGCAATATTCTTCAAAGGAGCTCAAAGCATATCAAAATATAGCATTATCACATCTGGAAAAGAGGGTGCCTGTTAAAAATGATCTATGGAGACCAATACACAGTGTTTTAAAACCTATTCACTTTAATATTTCACAGTCAACAGTGAAGCCAGAGTTTTGCAGTTATATGTTGCAATACTTCAAGCCTGTCACCAAAGAGGGATTTTTTTTTTATCCCACCAAGACATTGTTTCAACTCTTAGAGAAGAACTTAGAAGAAATTCCAAACTTATTTGGCTTACTGTGCTTTTTTTAAAAAAAAAATTACTCAGTATCACCCTGAAAATCTACTTTCTTTAACCCTTTAACTTTTTTTGAAATTTGTGTCATTTAATATACATATTAAATGACACATCTTAAATTTAATCATTTGTTGTAAATGTGTAGATTTTTTCCTGCATTAAAACTTTGATGATGAAATATTACATCATGTAACTATAGAGTATCATATGGTAAACAAGTTATTACACTCACATATTACCGTTAATGCATGCTGGACTTCTCAACCGTGTGTGACACGCTCACCTGCCAATAGTTGCTTCATATTTGTCAGCAGGCTTGACCACTGATTGGTTATAACTTTTGTTTTGTGTGTTTATTTGGAAAATAATGTAATCATTACCAGCTTAAATCTGCTACACAATAGATGAAACATGCATGAATGGTTTTTCAAGATTTTCTAATCTTGTCTTTTTTCTTTATGCTTCCATCACCCCTTTTTGCCTGGCAATTGCACCCAAGGATACCACCTGCCTCCTGGATTGTTCCAGCACCCCCAAGGGGCAGTATCACCTATTTTGGGAACCTGAGTTTAGAGGTATGAATGAATTCATAAGGAAAGATTATATTCAATGTATCTTATGTTCACATAATCTCAGAACTGGAAAGGAGCGCATTCATGACTTGTGCATCTTTCCTCTGGGGAATATGACAAAGTCTAAGCTCTCTTCCACATGACTTCCTTTAAAATATTTGTTAAGTGTCTTGTCCCCACAAAAGCTTCTCTTATTAATTAGCAACTCTGACTTCAATGTCAGTACTTGTGAAATAAGATCAATAATACTCAAAGTATCTAATTCATAAGGTTGCATTATTAACAAATTGAACAAACAAAGAAGAAATCATCTTTGGGTCTATAGATAGGTGAAATGTTCATGATGAAACCAGGAAAAGGAGGATCACAAAAGATAAAGTGAACAATTTTGTTCATGTAAAATTTAAGTTTTTTGATAAACAAATTAAATGCAGCTAAAATTAATAGGTAGTGAATTAATTGGGAAATATATTTGCAGTGAATTTCTCTGATAAAATTCTAATGTCCAGGATATTAGAATTAGAAGGAACTGATTAAATTTATGAGCAGAAGACAGTATCAAATTGATAACTGGTCAAAGTATATGAATAGGCAGTTCTTGAGGAAAGAAACCCAATCTATCTATAGCTATATTTTTAAAAAAAAATCACATCATTGATGATTACTGAAATGCAAATTAAAGTAACTCTGATGTTATACTTACACTCAGTTTGGAAAAGAGAATAAAAAAAATAAGAAATGTTAGAAGAACTGGGGTTTGGGGATGGCATATTGATGCACTGTTGGCAGACCTCTGGATGGTCTAACCATCGTGAAAAGCAATTTGAAACTATACTTCAAAAGTTTCTCAGTTGTGTGTATCCAATGATACTATTACTATTCTCTTCAAAGAAATCAAAGCAAGAGGGAAAGTTCATATATGACCAAAAATGGATATAATAACACTTTTTTGGTAATGTTACTAGCTACTAGTTGCTAGAACTAGGAGCTAAAGGAATGCCCATCAATTGGGGAGTACCTGAAAAAGTTATGGTATATATATATATGTAGTGGAATACTACTATTACTGGAATAATGTTATTACTTACATACTATTAATGAATACTATTGGGCTCTAAGAAATGAGGGATAGCTAGGTAGTGCATAGAGTGCATTGCTTAATGTCAGGAAGACTCCTCCTGAGTTCAATTCTGGCTGCAGAAACCTCCTAGATCTGTGACCCTATGCAAGTCACTTTACCCAGTTTGCCTCAGTTTCCTCACCTGTAAAATGAGCTGAAGAAGGATATGGCAAACCATTCTAGTATCTTTGCCAAGAGAACCCCAAATGGGCTCATAAAGAGTTAAATATGACTGGAACCAACTGAAAAACAACAATATGGAATGAAGAAAGAGATAGTTTTAAGGCATCTTGGGAAGACATGTATGAAGCAAAGCTGAGCGAAGTGAGCAAAACCAGGAGAAAAATCCTATAACATCAAGATTGTAAAAACAAACAATTTTGAAAGATTTAAGATCTCTGATTAATACAGTGATCAACTATAATTTTAGAGGATGAAGATCAAGTATGCTACAGAAAGGTAAAGGGTTAATAAGCAAAATGAGACACTTTTTTTTTTTTAACATGACCTATATGGGAATTTATTTTGCTTGAGTATGTGTATTTGAAACAAGAATTTTACTATTATTTTTTCCTGAGGGGAAAGGGAATGGGCTGGGAAAAAAATAAAAAAAAACAGAAAAAGGAAACAAAACATGGAAAGTAAAAAAATGTAAAGAACGTGAAAAAGTTAAATTGACGTAATTTTAATACATTTTAACTCATACTAAGGAAGTACTAACAAATGAAAACTAGCAAATTACAAGTTTTTTTTTGCAAATTCCACCTATTGTATGATACAATATATTTAAAATTACTCACAAAATGCAATTACTTTTTTGTTTTTATTAGAATGTTGAATTTTAAATGCTATAAAATTTGGAAATGATAGCTTTATTTAAAAATCAAAATAAAAATTTATAAATATTTATTCATAAAATAAAGTTTAAGATAAAAAACTAAGAATATTCAGCTTGAAATATTTTAGAAACAAATACATTTTTTTAAAAAATGTGAAAATTCTTTTATTGATTTTCTCTATAGTTTGTTTAGTAAAATAAATCCGTCATAAGTCACGCTGTATACAAATTAACAGGACAAAAAAAGTTCAATATAATCATTTAGAAACTATAAATAAATACATGTTAAAGTTAAGGACATATGATGATCCCTTCCCCACCCCACTTTACCTGTGTATCAAAGGTTTAAGAAGCAAATTTTAAATTTTCTCTTCATCTTTTGTTAGACTCTAACTTTTGTGGTTAACAGAATCTCCCAAGATTTCAAATGGTATTCAAGCAAACCAGAAGGTAAATTTAAAACTGCCTATCTTGTTACCTCAATAACCTAAATTTCCTTGAGTCAGGCTGGTTCCCAGAACGTCTTAGTATACACTATCTTAAAACAGATGTCAGGCTTTAATTGTTCTCTTCTATAATCAAGTCATGCTCTCTTCGTTTTCTGATTCACATTCCTAGTTCATGAATTGTTGCAATCACTTTGATTTTTAAAACTTCGCTATGAAAAATTTGCCTAGCTGAAAAACTTTTTAAAAAAGGCTTGTCCTGTTATTTCTCCCTAGAATAGTGCTGTTTGAATTCAAGTATTTATACAAAGAACAGTTGTAAAACTTAAAACTACTTTCTTTTCTTCCTTTATTTTAAAGACCCACTTTCAGAATGACTAACCCCCATTTTCACTCAGAATAGAGGTAAAGAAACCAAACCTTTAAGACATCACCAATTTCTTTAAAATCTTCTGTACTAGTTTAATACAGTTACACTGAAATTATTTCAGCATGTTTCACAATAGCCAAGCAGATAAGAAGATAATCAATACTTTAGAGATAAATATATTCCTCATTTAGACAAATACTTTTATCTGAACCACAATAGAAACTTAGATACTGAAAAAGTCTGTCCCAATCATATTAAAACTTAATTTGTGTAAATTTGTCACAAATAAATTTTAAGCACATGTTAAAATAATTTAATCTAGCTAAATTGTGAGTGTGTCTACAGGCATATGTGTTTTTTTAAGTTTTTAAATAAAAAATCTTCCATATGTATACATTTTTGGCCACGTGTACACCTAAGACATACAATTTGCAGTCACCTAGCCAGTGGTCTTTCTATATATTCAAACAGCATATCATCTATGACGGTCCTCATAAAAGAGAACAAGGTAATTTTAAAATGACTTTAATGTGGAGTTTTCTAGACCCATATTTTCACGTTCTGTGAATTTTCTCACGTTCAACAAATCTATTCAAGTGATTCAAGTTATCCCATCATTTAAACAGAAAAGTCTCGGCAATGATTTTGAACCAGGGTGTAATCTTAATTTCACCATTAGCTACTTTTTCCAGGAGTTCTTCTAGTTCTTTTTTGGTCACATAACAATAGCTTTTAATCTCATTAGGATCTGGATCTAAGGTTACATTCTTCCTCACAAACAAGATATAATCAATTTCACGTTCTCCCCAAATCCCATCAGATTGTGCCTTGGAATGGATTCGTGTTAGATAAGAAATATCTTCTGGAGGAACCTGTTCCATGGGAATTCCTAGTTCAGCCTTTAAACGTCTCTGAGCTGCTTGCCTTACTCCTATGGCATTATCTTCTTCCAGTTCTATTGGGTTGCTTAGTGGATGACTACAACAAGTGTTTGTAAAACAACCTGGAAAAGTAATTTTAGCAGCTGATCTCTGCTGCAGTAAGAACTTCTTTTCTGTATTAAATAAGAAGACACTAAAAGTTCTATGTAATAATCCTTTATCAATGTTTTCATTCAGATGGCAATTCTTTTTGGTCTCTGCACCAATCTTGTTATCATTTTCATCAATAAGAATGCACATCTTTGCAAGGAGCTGAACTTGCTGCTCATCAAGATTGTCAGTGTTTATTTCAGGCATTGCTGGAATTTGTTTAATCCTTCCCAAGAAGCCTGCACTCCCGCGGAAGGTCCGGTGCTGGGGCTCCACTCCGCCGACTGCGCCGCTGGACAAGGAGCCGGCACCCACAGCACCGAAACGGCCGCGGCTGCTCAGGAGGAGCGACGGGGACGCGCCCCGAAACAAATACATTTTGTATTGAAATGATATGAAAGCCATATTGTATTTATAGAATAAGCAAAAATTTAAAAATATATGCTTTTCATAATAATTCTACCAATTCTCAAATTGCAACATTATTCATAAAGAGTGACTAAAAAACTCAGTTTAAAAATATTAAGACTAGGGGAAATATGAGACTGCATTGCACCACCATGAAAGCGTAGAGGCACACATTAATACACTCAGAAATATTTCAAAATCCTTAGTTTCAAGCATAAGTTCTGAAACCTTTGTTCAGAATATTGGGTTCAATGAACATGATATATGCATATAGACAAATGAATTACATTAAAATATAATTGTATTCTTCCCTAGTTCTTTCATTGATTAGGGTCTACATTGGTTCATAATTGACAAAATTTTTCATTTCATTATTGTCTTTTAAATTTATTCATTTTACAATAGATACCAAATTGATTTTAAAATATTTCTAAGAAAAGAAAATACTATACAAAATGACTATGCCCTTGGCTCCCTTCCGGACCAAGACGGTAATCTCCTAACCCTCTAGCCCACCCTGGTTTTTCACAAATAACTGAAAAATTTAAGATGCTATATGAATGACAGTTCTTACTAAGTTATCTTGACACTTTTGTGGACCCTTGGCACATGATAATATTCATCTTAATTTACCTGATCTTACTTACAATCTTCTTTATATCTCTATTAAAAATCTAAGTTGGTTTTAGATATTAATATGCTTATGTCATATATTTATAGTATTATTTGAATATTTTAGGTATCATGAACAATCACTTGCATGAATCTTATACATTGACAGATCATAAATATCACAAATATTAGGGTCCCTTTGTTGATATAGATCAAAACCAATCTATGCCTTCTAATCCTGTGAAATTTTCATTCATGTCCTACTAGGAACTTTCTATTTGGAATCTATTCAACATACTGGAGGCTTTCTCATAGCTATTTTAGGCTTTCAAAGGAATCTTTGAAGTCTTCTGGACATTCTTTAATTATCCCTCTCTTCTACTATATAACTGGTTGCTGCTTTTCCTGATAACAATTTGTATTTATAAAGACATTATTTTCTTGAATTCATCAATAATACAAAATATACACTAGGTGTCATTAAAATACTAGTATCTGCTTCTACTAGTAAATTGCATTTTAATTCAATAGGAATTCAATTTGAATTCAAGATAAGAAGCAACTGCCAAGATATGATTTTGGATATAGGTACACAGACATTTCAACTCTTGTCTTGAAATGCAATGTGAAACTTCTGATTAATTGATAAAACAAATCTTACTAATATCCCGGAATTTAAAGGGACAGAGAGACCTAGAGAAATGTAGAGAGAGACATAGATAGAGACAGAGAAACAGAGGGAGAGAGAAGAGAGAAAAACAGAAAGACACAGAGAGAAAGAGACAGAGAGAAGCAGAGAGAGAGAGAGAGAGAGAGAGAGAGAGAGAGCAAGCTAGAACCAGTGAGGAAACCAATCATTGATATACTAATTAACCATCATCAGCCTTATTCTAAAGGGAAACATTCTATAAACCATACTATTATATAAAAATAGGAACAATTATGATAATAGTAATGATAACTAAAATGTAAATAATGCATTATGATTAGTAATATGCTTTACATACATTATATCATTGGAGCCTTAAGGCAATCTTGCTAGGGTAATATCCCTCCCTTCATACACACCCTTGCAGGATGGGAAAACAAAGGAGTTCTGAACTTGCAATTTCATTAATGTGGACAACTTCCACTGTGAAAACTCCTTCAGCTATGTTAGTTCAAAATTGGTCTGTAATTTGTAGGCTTAAAGAAATATTTGGTTCACTAAGAAGTCAAGTGACTTGTTCACGGACAAAGAGATGATAATTTTCTAAGACGGGATTTGAACCAAGGTGTCTTCTGATTCCAAGTCTAGATCTATTTGCCTTGCCCAAAAGTAATAATTGATGACCAAAACATTTATAATCTTGTATGATCACATTCACTGCTATAAATATACTTTCAATCTGTAGTGAATGTACAAGGAAGTCAAGTTTTGAAAAACAAATAGATCCAATCAAGAATTAAACTACATAGTCTACATCAAAAAAAAAATCTTGTCACTAAAGAGAAATGATCCATTATAAACAATAGACATTTGTACTTCTTATAATTTCTGATTTTCCCAGCTAGTTTCTCCTCTCCTAAATTGCATAAGGATGATACTGGTAGAATCGAATATAAGGGAAAAAGAAAACATATATACTCTTTTAGGAAATTAGTTGTAGTCTTCAAAAGTAGAGGAAGGGGAATAAGAATTTATACAGTAGCTACTATATGCCAAGCATTGTGCTAAACAGTTTTTACAATTATTAGCTCATTTCATCCTCACAACAATTCTAGTATGTAGGTGTTATTATTATCTCCATTTTATAATGAGGAAACAGAGGTAGACAATGGTTAAGTTACTTGCCCGGGATCATACAGTTAGCAAGTATCTGAAGCTGGATTTGAAATGAGGCCTTTCTAACTCCAGGCCTTGTGCTTTGTTGACGGCAAGCCAACATCCACAACATAAAAACTTACATTTCCATAATATATCACATTTTGATTTATACTACTAATAATAGCACTCCTAAGTCCTAGCAAAAAGCAAACTTTCAAATTATAACTTTTTTTTGCAGATTGTTACACTTGTGTAATACAATATGTCTGCATTCATTGTGAAGTAAATTTAAAAGTTACTCTAATAAAGTTTGAATGATTTCACACATTAAAACACGATGCAAAATAAGCCGTTTAAGGTAAAAATGAATAAAGGCCATCTAAGAAGCAGATGTGATAGATGTTACCAAACATCTGAAAGCAATTACAAACAGTTAAATATAGATGTACAGGCATACATACATATATAGGTATTCAGGCAGATATGTATATGACTATATGTTTATATACATTTATGTACATTTCTAATTTTCCTGTTTTATCAAAGAAAGTGTTAAGATTTCATAGAACTGAAGAAAATGAACTGAAATAATGATCTAATAAATTGTATCAAATAATCTAATGAAATCTGCAAAGGCCAAAAGAGAAATCCATTGAGTTGCTATTTTTTTTTTGACAAGAGAAAGGTTACTCATTTAGACATAGAGATCAAATATTTCCTGAAAATAAACTAAAACAGTTACTTGTTCCTTGGGTTTTTGTGAGTATCTTCCACACAGCATGCATTAAATATTGTTGAATTGGAGCATCAAAGAACATCATGGACTTAACAACACTGTTAACTATGGCTTTACAAAATATAGAAATTTTGTCCAAATGGTTAAGTTTCCCATCTAGGTAGATTTATAGGTTTTCTATAAAGGCAGAGGGCATAACATTAAATTGTAACAACACTTATTACTAATTTCCCAGCAGTGCTCCTCATTTTCATTTTTACTGTCCAAGGTGCTGAATAGTATTTACAGCTTTCCATACTCCACCAGCAGAACATGCTATTTCTAGGGAAATAGAGATGCTGAGAGTGGGTCATTTGAACCACTAAGAGGAGTCTAGGGTAAAATATGCCATTTCTAAGGTTGTTGAGTTTCAGAGCAACACCTGTTGAAGCAATGCAAAATACTCTAATAGAGTTTTCTTCAGTTCTGTAAAATCTTAACACTTTAATAAAACAGAAAAAAGGAAATACATGCATACATGTATTATATATACATGTATATATTTTACACACACATATATGTATACACAAATGTATTGCATTATACACACATATGTGCACACACAGGAGCTTACCAATATCAAAATGAGACTTCACAGACTCTCATCTGGTTATTGCTAAATTACGTAACTATGGACAATAGACTAAGGTAGCAAGAAATAGAAATAAATTAAATTTTATTGGAGTGCATATTACTGAGAGAATCTTGCTGCTATTGAAATGATTAGGTCTAATCTTAAGGCAATATTTATGACAGATATGTAATGGGAAAGGAGTTCTGAATTTGTCTTGTGTCATGGACCCCTTTCACAGTCTGGTGAAGACTTTGTATATGTTCTCAGGAATAATGTTTTTAAATGCAGAAAATAAAATATAAAATATTATAAAGGAAACCAATTCTGAACAGTAAAATATATGTACATGAATAAATATATGCATTATAGATGTGTTTATTCACATGTACACCCATATTCATTTCCAATTTTTCTGTTTTGTTTGTCAAAGAAAGTGTGAAGATTTTACAGAATTGTAGAGAACTTTATCAGAGTATTTTACATTTCTCCAACAGGTGTTGCTGTGAAATTAAACAGCCTGAAGAATGGCCTATTTTAAAATCTAGACTCCTTTTAGTGGCTCAGATGGTTCTCTTTTTGCTTCTCTCTTTCCCTAGAAATAGTATGGTCTGCTTATGTGTGTGTGTGTATGTGTGTATATGTGTGTGGCCATTCCTTTGTATGTTTATATATTTTCCTGGATCTCAGGTTAAGAAACACTATTCTTAATAAGGGTTGCATGTTTGTGAAGAAATAGTAGATGTAGATAATAGTTCTCATTTCCTTTAACACCTGATATTTGAATCACGAGGCATTTAATACACACATATCTATATATGTATATGCATAACATATGTGTATGCCTATATACACATACATACACACATATATGCAACAAAATCAATAACTCATAGTTAGGCATGGCATGAGATATAAAATGATTAAACAGAATATAAGCTCTTGAAGGGCAAGAGTTGCTTGATTTTTGTGTTGCTGTTTGATTAATTAAATCAATGACAGCAGCCTAGTATGGATGCTATGAATATGGCTAATATAGCCATTCTTTTAGTGTCAATAAACAAGCTTTT